GAGACCACCAACATACCTGCATTCCTTGGCTTGTAAATGAATGGTCCCTTCCTAGTCTTCAAAGTTTTTTTTCTGTCTACTCCTTTCCCTTTGGCCCAGAGCTGAGGCACCCTCCCCCCAACCCCAAATATTCATTCATACACACCCCTCTTCCAGACAGCTGAGTTAAGGGCTGCAGGGAGAGAGTCCCAGGACTGGGCAACAGTAACCTCTCGTGCCCTGTTTCCCCTCACCTCCTCCCCTTTTCCACACCAGTCTCCTGCTGGTGTTTGAACACCTTGGCCAGGCCCATCTCAGAGCTCACTCTGGCTCGTCCTCCACTTGGCCAGGCCCTCACTTCTTCACACCACACTAACCTCAGGAGGCCCCCTCTGCCCACCCTGTCTAGTGCCACTGCCTCCACCCCTGTGCACGCACCCCCAGGTCTCCTGTTGTTTTTAGTTGCTGTCAAGTTGATTCTAACTCATAGCAGCCCCATGTGTGGAGAGTAGAACTGCCTCATAGGGTTTTCAGTGCTGTGACCTTTTGGAAGCAGATCACCAGGCCTGTCTTCTGACAGGTAAGGTGCCTCCGGGTGGGTTCAAACCGCCAACCTTTCAGCTAGTAGTTGAGCCCTTAACCATTTGTGCCACCTAGGGACTCCTTCCTATGTCCCCTGCACTGTATCATTTCTTTACTATGTGTTTTACTGTCTATCTCCCTGCTAGCATCTAAGAAGCGGGGCCTTGCTCTGTCCTCACAATCATATTTCCAGGGCCTAGAACAGTACCTGGTACGTAGTAGGTACCCTAAAAATATTTGCAGAGAATTCGTTTACGCGTTTGTGACCCCCTCAGGGAATGGGCCTTTCTTCCTGCCTGGGTTGTCTCCTGGCTTTGAGCCAGGGATAGGGCAGGACTAAGCAAATATTAGAGTCAGTAGATAAATAAGATGTGAAGTTAGGACTTGCAGCTGCAAAAGCACTAGAGCTAGAGGAGAGGTTGGTGGGATTGAGAGAATGTGGGGTGGGGTCAGGGTACTTAGGTTGGGGTTGGGTTGTGGCAGTGGATGGGAACCCCCTCGGCTTTCGGGGTGGCACAGGCAGGGCAGACGGGTCAGGGAGAGGTAGAGCAGCCACTTCTCAGTCTGGGCTTCAGGCTTAGTGTGCGTGAACTGCGGTGGTGGATGGCAGTGGGCCCAGTTGTGGCAGTCAGCCCGATGCACCCACCCTTGCCTCCCTCAGCGTCGGTTCCCCTGAAGCTCGGCTCTGTCCTCCCTGCTCCCCCAGCACCCACCCACTTCTTTAGGAAGCTCTCCTCCTCAGGAAGAGCAGGGGGAAAGTTTTTCTTTGTGAGACACTCCCAAAGTCTTCGTTTGCCAGACCCAGCAGAACCATCGCTTCATTTCATTTTTGTGCTAAAAAGAAAAAATTGCCATTGAGTTGATTCTGACTCATAGTGGCCATATAGGAGAGACCAGAACTGCCCTGTAGGGTTTCCAAGTCTGTAAACTCCTGGAAGCAGACCACCGGGTCTTTCTCGTGAAGTCCCTCCGGGTGTGTTTGAACCACCAGCCTTTTGGTTAGTGATCATGCTCTTAACCTTTTGTGCCACCTGTTGTTCTTGTTAGTTGCCCTTGAATCAATTCCAACTCATAGCGACTCCATGTGACAGAGTAGAATTGCCCCATATGGTTTTCTAGGCTGTGATCTTTATAGTAGCAGATTACCAGGTCTCTTTCTTGCTGAGCGGCTGGTAGGTTCCAACCACCAGCCTTTCAGTTAGCAGCCAAGTCTTAACCATTGCGCCACCAGGGCTCCTTATTTTAGTGCTAGCGTACACATTTCTCAAACTGTGATTCTCACCCAGGTGTGTTGCCCCAGCTACTGGCCTCACCCTCCGCCTTCCAGTCCACTCCCCACACACATTTGACCATGTAGTCCCCCACCCCTAAAACCCTTCTGTGGCTCCCTCCCAATGAAGTCTGAGCCGTTAGCCTGGCATTTGGGGCCCTGCCAACTTCTGGATCATCGCCTGGCACTCCGTACACACACACACACACACATTCTGTCTCTTTTCTCCTTGTTCCCTTCCTGCCACCAAACCGCTGAGCCCCCAGGCCCGCGCCTGTTCCCTATCCTGTCTCTACCTTCCCCCGGCAGTACCTCCTCCCTGTCTCCTCACCTAGCTCTCCCACATCCTTCAGCAGCACTCAGGCAGCCTCGTGCAGAGCCTGGGCCCAGGTAGGAGCCTCCTCCCAGCCCCCTCAGCACGCAGCCCCCGCCCGCTCAGCATGAGCCCCTCTGTCCCCGCCCAGAGCCCCTGGCACTGGAGCTGCCATCTGACAGGTCTGAGGCTGCCAGGAGACAGTGGGTGCCTCGAGGGCAGTGATGGTGGCTTTTCTGCCCTCCCTGAGCCTTGGTTTCCTGGCTGTGAAGTGGACGGCAGGAGGGCATGCCCCAAGGGTGTGCTGAGAGGCAGATGGGTAATGAGCCATCTGAATAAAGTACATGGTACAAGTAACGCTGTTTGCCATTACTGATAGAGCCCCAGGCAGATGAGGCCTCTAGGGAGGAGGGTGCTGCTTGTGGTTCTGTCACCACTGCAGAGTGCTCTATAAACGCTCTTCAGGAACATGTTAGCTGCAGCTTGTTAATAGCAAGAGCTCTCTTGAGCTAAGATCTGAGCACTGAGGTGTGTAGCTGGAGATGGCCGGGTGCTATTGGCTGCTAATAACGAAAAACCCAGTCTGAGGTGGCTTGGCAGCGGGAACGTGCTCTGTAACATGAGAAGTGGTCTGGGTGCAGGGCAGCCCAGGGCTGCCTGAGTGGCTCAGCCCGCCTGCCCCTGCCTTCAGCTCCCTGCTCTTGGCCCCCTGTCCCTTGCCCCGGTTCTCAGCAGGCTGCCACGGTGTCAGGCAGGAAGGGGACACTGCCACTTACCATGGCCTCATGAGAGTGAAAAGACTGTATTAGTTTCCTAGGTGACAAGGTACCACAAACTGCGTGGCTTCATACAACAGGAATTTACTGTCTCTCAGTTCTGGAGGCGAGAAGTCCAAATTTAGGGTGTCGGCAGGGCTGCGCTTCCTCCAAAGGGACCAGAGGAAGATCCTTGCCTCTTCCAGCTTCTGGTGGCTCCTGGCCATCCTTGGCTTGTGGCTGCATCACTCCAGTCTCTGCCTCCGTCTTCGCATCATCTTGTCTGTGTCTCTCTGTGTCCTCTCCTCATCTGAAAAGGACACCAATCACTGGATTAGGGACCACCCTAATCCAGGATGATCTCATCTCAAGATCCTTAACTAGGATCACCTTCTGAGGTTCCAGGTGGGCATGAGTTTTGGGGGACACAATTCAACCCAGTACAGAAGCCCCAGGGAGTGTTGTGTAACAGTGCCAGGACCAGGGTCCCACCCGCAAGAGACAGATTGCATTGACCTGGGCCGAGGCACCGTCAGACATTGAACACCTAGGTGGTGCTGATGGGCAGCCATTTGAGATCCATGGCTTAGACCAGGCAGGGTCCACCAGTAGCATGGGCAGCCCTCGGGTCATTCCCCAAAAGCACATGGCTGTGTGGAGAAGGGATGGAACACAACCGGGGGACTGTGAGGGAGGGAGGAAGGGTGGGGTGGCAGGGGGGAGACTGCAAGGAGGGAGGAAGGGTGTGGTGGAAGGGGGGGCAGCTACAGAAGGTTCCTTCTGACTTGGGCTTGTAGAGTCTTCTCTGAGGAGACGTTGAGCAGTAGAGACTGGGCCTGTCTCCCTGCTCTGTGCGGTGGCGCCATAGTCCTGCCCCCCTGTGGGACCGCTGTGACCCAGCTGAGGGTCTGGGCAAGGAGCAGGTAGCACCATACTCGGCACACGGAGCTGTCAGGGCTGCCACCTCGTCTCTAGGCTGGGATCGGCACTTTTTGTGCGGCCTGAGGAATACCTGGCTTTGTGAGCAGCGGCGGCATGTGGGGAATTAACAGTAAACTTGAGGTCAGCCACCACCCCCAGGTTTTTTTCTCAAGAACATCTACTCGGCTGGGTGTTCGCCACACTTGCTGGGCTCCCGCTGTCCCCCGTCACCAGCTCCCCAAGGTGCTCCCCAACGTGAAAATGTAGCAGGTAGCGCCCTACCACTGCAGCAACAGGAAGCACCCCTCACCAGTGGCTGCCACCCCCTTTGCTGATGAGGGGCTGAGGCTTGGAGAGGGGTGCAGGGCCTTGTTTGAGGTCGTAGAGCAGGGAGTGACCGAGCACGCCCCAAATCCAGGCTTGTCTGTCCACACTGTCTACTCCTCAGCTGGAGGAGTGTCCTCTGGCTGCTGTAACAAATCGCCACCAACTTGGTGGCTTACAACAGCGTACATCTATAATCTTACAGGTCTAAAGGCCAGAAGTCTGAAATGGGTCTTGCTGAGTGCTGTCAAGTTGATTCTGACTCGCAGCAACCCCGTGTGACAGAGTAGAACTGCCCCATAGGGTTTTTTTGGCTGTCATCTTTACGGGAGCAGACTGCCAGGTCTTTCACTTGCAGAGCCACTAGGTGGCTTTGAACCACCATCCTTTGGGTTAGCATCCGAGTACTGAACTGTTCACGCCAGCAGGGCTCCTTGAAATGGGTCTCACTGGGCTAGAAACAAGGTGTCAGCAGGGCTGATTCCTTCCTGAGGCTCCAGGGGAGAACCACTTCCTCAGGCAGAACTTATTTTCTGGAGAGAGGAAGCATCTAAAGTCTGACTCCTCGGGGTGGAGGGCTGCTGCCAGCTGGGTCCTTGCTCTCCAGCTTCTCCTCCTAAGCAGTGAGAGGCTCTGCACTGGGCGCACCTGGCACCTGACACCTAGGGCGCAGGCTTAGGCTTCTGGATCCTTCTCTCCCTGTTTGGCAGAACCTGGGTTAGGTGGTCAGGAAGAGAAGGCAGGGTTGCCATGTATTACCCTACCCAGTCCCTCCACCCTCCACACGACACTCCGTGTGCCTCTGAGGTTGCCTTTCCAAAACTGCCCTCTGATCATGTCGCTTCCTCTGCTTTAGAAATCCCCACAAGGTTGCAGACGGCGACGGATTTGCTTTGGGAGCCTGAGTAGCTGCTGCCACCGAGAGCCAGAGCCATGAGCGGGTTTAACTTTGGAAGCGCCGGGGCCCCCACAGGCGGGTTCACGTTTGGCACTGCAAAGACGGCCACTACCACCCCAGCCACTGGGTTTTCTTTCTCCACCCCTGGCACCGGTGGGTTTAATTTTGGGGCACCCTCGCAGCCAGCTGCAAGCACCGCCTCAACCAACCTGTTCACACTCACCACCCAGGCACCCACAACTCAGACCCCAACGTTCAGTTTTGGAACAACGACTTTTGCTTCTGGAGGAACAGGGTTTTCCTTAGGCATAAACACCCCAAAGTTAAACCTGGGCAACCCCACAGCCACCCAGGCCACGGTGAACCCCAGTGCCTTTGGGCTGGGCAGCAGCACCCTTACCAATGCCATAGCAAGCACCTCAGGTCAGGCGGCGGCATCTGGTGGCTTCGTGTTTGGCTCCTCAACCACCTCTGCCCCTGCGTCCACCACCTCTGGAGGGTTCTCATTCACCGGTGGGAGCACGGCTCAGCCCGGGACCTCCAGCTTCAGTGTGTGCTCCATGGGGAGTTCAGCACAGCCCACGGCCCTAGCCGGGCTACCCTTCACTCCAGCCACACCAGCAGCCACTGCAGCCGGAGCCACCCAGCCGGCCGCTCCTGCACCCACAGCCACCACCACCAGCACTGGGCCCGCACTCTTTGCCTCCATTGCCACCACACCAGCCTCGTCTGCCACTCCCAGCCTCTCACTCTGCCCCCCAGCAACCTCAGCTGCAGCCCCAGGGACTGGGGCACTGGGCTTCAGTTTAAAGGCCCCTGGAACGGCTTCCAGCGCGTCTACGGTGACGTCCACTGCTGCTGCCGCCACCACCACTGCCACCGGCTTTGCCTTGAATCTGAAACCACTGGCTCCATCCGGGCTCCCCAGTACTGTGCCCACTGCCGGAACCGTTCCGTCTGGCCCCGGTGCAGCCTCGGGGGGCCCTACCAGCCCCGCCCTGACCTATGCCCAGCTGGAGAGCCTGATCAATAAGTGGAGCCTGGAACTGGAGGACCAGGAGCGGCACTTCCTGCAACAGGCCACACAGGTCAACGCCTGGGACCGCACGCTGATCGAGAACGGCGAGAAGATCACCTCCCTGCACCGCGAGGTGGAGAAGGTGAAGCTAGACCAGAAGCGGCTAGACCAGGAGCTCGATTTCATCCTGTCACAGCAGAAGGAGCTGGAGGACCTGCTGAGCCCGCTGGAGGAGGCAGCCAAGGAGCAGAGTGGCACTATCTACCTGCAGCATGCCGACGAGGAGCGCGAGAAGACCTACAAGCTGGCCGAGAACATCGACGCGCAGCTCAAGCGCATGGCACAGGACCTCAAGGACATCATCGAGCACCTAAACACAGCCGGGGGCCCCGCCGACTCCAGCGACCCGCTGCAGCAGATCTGCAAGATCCTCAATGCGCACATGGACTCGCTGCAGTGGGTCGACCAAAACTCAGCCCTGCTGCAGCGGCGGGTGGAGGAAGCCAGCAAGGTGTGCGAGGGACGCCGCAAGGAGCAGGAGCGCAGCTTCCGGATCACCTTCGACTGATGGGCATCTGTGGGCCACGGGGGCAGGGAATGTGCAGTTATGACCTGGTGTTTGATCACTTGCTTGTTTGTTTTCCTTTCTTTCTTTCCAGTGATTGTGCTGTTGAGCAAACTGTTCTGTGGTTTGACTTTCGCCTTAGCAGGTAGACAGCATTTGATGCCTATGGTCCAGGCAGCCACCCAGTAGGTGTGGATCCTGGGTGTATCGTTTGTGTTTCTTCCATTAGACCCTCTTTTGCCTCCTACTACCACCCACCTCATCCTCATTGCTCCAGCCACATGATGGCGAAGTGCCAGTTCACCTACAAACAAGTCCAGTCTCTCCACGGTTTGTCAGGTGGCCACGTGTAGTCGTAGGTACAATGAGAAAAAGACGAATGTTAAAATCATCTCCATCCTTGGATGTGGTAGCAGGCCAGTTTTGGAGTGTGAGATAGGTCCATCAGTACACGGAAGTGAGTAGGCACAGGACAGACGGTGGGGTATGGGACTTGAGGAGAAAAGACAGGTCAGGGGAGGGACCCAAGCAGGATACTAAGAAAAGGGTACTGTTCCAGCAAGAGTACCTTTGCCTGGCCAGCGTGCCTGTCATCCTTGGGGCTTCCCTGAGCCATCACCTCCTCCGGGAAGTCCTCAGCCGTCCTGCGGTGCCCCTAGCACACTGGCTTGCACCTTTGGTAACATTTGCTGTGCTGTCTTTTGCCAACTGTGCACTCCTCTGTCTCCCTGTTAGACTGTGAGCCCCTGTAGGCAGGTACCTTCTCTTGTTCACCTTTGTGTCTTTGCACAGTTGCTGTCAACATGTGTCAAATGAATGAACAGTGAAGGTGAAAGCAGGCCTAATGGCCCACAAAAGTGCCTGCTCCGATGGCCACAGTCGCCAGAGATGGCCACAGACCTGTTCCAGAATGTCCCAACGATGAAAGCGAACCTAGTCGGTTAGAGTGAGGTTCAGCGGTGCCCAGAGGGTGGAAACCGGCCAGCCGAGTCCCAGGTGTCTTTGTTGGTCTTTACACTCTGCTGCCTTCTCTGAAATACCTGTAATGACTGTTCTCTCCTAAATAAAACAAGTTTATTGTGAAACAAAAAAAAATTGTGAATGTGGATGAATGTCAGACGGGTAGGGTTGTGGGTGAGGGAAGAGTAGTTCCCAGAAGATGATAGCAGTGGGTGCCATTTTCTGAAACTCAGAAGCAGGCAACACTAAATGGGACATTGTTCAGGCATACAGACATAGATGACAGAACTGTCTGCTTAATGAGGGGAGTTACACAGATTCGAGATGGTGGTTTCCTCTGGGAAGGGGGCAGGGGTGCTGGTGGTAGAAGAGGGGTGAACCCGTTACAGGTGATGTTCTGGCTTGGGGGACGGGTGGTTGGTCCTAGGTGTTCTCACATGCCTAAGGCCTTACTTGGCTCAATGGCCACTGGCATCCTTGGCAGCATTCCTATTAACTGCCTGGGGCCAGCTGGAGGGTTCTGGTGATGATTCAGCATTTGTGGGTGGAGGTTTCCAGAGGACACCCTGATGAAGTGCCACCCCCAGCTCTCGTAGGCTTGAATGGCGCCAGGCACAGGGCTCTCACAGGCCTCCAGCAATCCACGCTGAGCTGTGCCACACATTTTGGCTACTGAGTGACCAAAGCCCGTACCTGGAGATTTATGGTCCGTACAGTTTCCAAAAGCCGCCTCCAAGTCACGGGTCATGAGCCATTATTATTTCCTTGGACCACCTTGGGCTTCCAAGGTCAAGAATCCCAGTCCCACCCAAGTAGAAGCTGCAGGAGGGGGAGGGGAACGAGCTAGATGAGGAAGACCCCGACCACCCCAGCTGCTTCCCTGTCTCTGAAAGCTCTGTCCCCTATGACAGTGGCCCTTTTGTGCCATCCAGATACCCTGGATTTCACCAATGACCCATATCTGAGCCCTCTACCCAAAAGGAATAGGGGAGGGAGAGGTCTTGAGCCCCCTGGAAAGTAGTAAGTGCCTTTATTTATTCAACATCCATTTTCTGAGCACCTAACTACATACCAAGTCCTGCCTGGCACTGGGGTAACGAAAACGGAATGCCCACTGGCAAGGGCCACAGTCATGATTTTTTAAAACAATTTTTGAGCACACATTTCCAATGTGTGTATATATATAGTCCTGCTATTATTTTCCCTGGATAGCACGAATGTTTAAGAACTCGGCTACTAACTGAAAGGTTGGCGATTCAAGTCCACCCAGAGGCACCTCAGAAGAAAGTTCTGGTGATTGACTTCTGAAGGATCACAGCCATTGAAACTCCTATGGAGAACAGTTCTACTCTGACACACAAGGGGTCACTGTCAGAATTGACTCAATGGCAACTGGTTTGGGATTCCTTTACCGTTTTGCATATTAAACACTGTTGTGTGCTATCGAGTCAATTCCAACGCATAGTGACCCTATACAGAGTAGAACTGCCCCATAGGATTTCTAAGGATTGCCTGGGGGATTCCAACTGCTAACCTTTTGGTTAGCGGCCTGAGCTCTTAACCACTGCTCCATCAGGGCTCCTATTAAACGTTAGTAAACCTTAAATAAAAACACTGCAGCTCTAATATTTTCTACTCACACCCCAAGGGATCTTGGGTACCCCACTTAGAAGAACACAAGCGATTATAATACATTGGGATGATTGCCGCTTAGGAGGAATAGCTAGGCTCCCCGGAGCCTCGGGGCAAATGGCCCTAGCAGGCTTCCCAGGGGAGCCAGGGAGGGGTTCCGACTATTGCGACATCAGCAACCAGCTGGGTGACCTCCGTGCACGGCAGCGGCTTCGTTGTAATTGTAGTTTCCCTTTCCAGGAAGAAAACACAGATGCGCTTCCCTGCCCGTCCAGAGAAATGGCCTCTGCTTAAGTTCTCCTCATTAATTAATATGAAGACAACAAATGTGACTAAATTTGGAATCAGAGGCTTTTAAAGGTGACTCCCTCCTCAGTAAGCTCTTACTGCATTTCTTCTCCCTGTTGAGGCATAAGAGTAGCAGTTGGTCTATGATTCCAGCTTTCTTTGAATCTCACAAAACATCAAATGACTAACTGCGTTATGACCCCCGCCAGGGTGGTTCCCCTGCCCCATAGGGCACAGCTAGGCATCGAAAGAGTCAGATTTTTGAAACAGCTAGAGGTTTCCAGAGCAAGAGAGCAGCCTTGATCTCCTGTAATGTTGAAACAAAAAATTGCCAAGCAGTGATGTGCTGGTAGATGTTTAACAGCCAGCTCTCCAAGGGGAAAAACTGATCTGTAGCACTTGCCAACTTCCATGGTGTAAATAACTGCACCATGGCTGATTTCAAGCGACCAGTGCACATCACCGACCATGAATTTGGGAAAAGATGCGCACTGTACTGATGCAATGCATTTCCTTCAAGAGCACAGATAAAAGTGTAGTCAACAAGTAAGGAGTTTTGAGTATTTATTGCCTTTGTTTTAATAAAGATTTATTTAATTGTAAGTTTTTGTAAGACCCTGGGTGCTGCAGACAGTTAATGCTCTTGGCTGCTGACCAAAAGGTTGGAGGTTTGAGTCCACCCAGAGGTGCCTTGGAAGAAAAGCCTGGTGATCTACTTCCAGAAGATCATCCATTGAAAACCCCGTGGAGTACAGTTCTACTCTGACACACATGAGGTCGCCATGGGTCAGAGTTGAATCCACAGCAACTGGGTGGTTTTTTTAAGTTTTTATAATTTAATTTTTAATGATGGCTTACAAAACAAAAAATCCTGAAAATTTAACAATGAGTTGGGTCTCACAAACGTATGAGCCAGCTCCAGCACACCACTGCCTCCCGAGTTTTCAGCCAACCCCGAAATTCTCTGGGTGTTTTGAATGGCTGCCCTCCAGCTCTCAGGGCAGCGGTTCTCTGTGGAACTTCCAGGGAACGAGCCCCTCACCCTCAGGAGCCACATCTGTTTCTGGATGCCAGCCCGGCCCCGGGCTAGGCTTAAGGACCCCACTGCCCCATGGGCCTGCCCCACACCACCCCACTTCGCAGGCTCACACATCTAGTCGCCGAGTGCTTCAAACACTGTGGGCTCACCTGGACACCCCCTCTTCATCCCACCTCACCTCCAGACACCATCCTCATCCAACCTCCACGACCACTGAAGAGCTCCTAGTGGTAGAAACGGGACCTGAGAGGCCGCTCTGTCAGGCTGCAGCTCTGTGGGGTGCTCTTCGGGTGCTCTGGTGCTAAGAGACAGATTGAAGCCTCACTGAGCCAAGTCACACTTAATGACAAAGATAGTATCACTCAGATGCACTAATGTGTGGCTCTTACTTGAATCTTCATTCAAACAAGCCAACCATTAAAAAAAAAAAATTATGAGATAATCAGGGAAATTTGACCATTGATTTAATAATATTAAGGAATTATTACCATTTTAAAATGATAATGGTATGGTAGTTTATTTATAAATAAGTTCTTTTAGAGAAAAGGTTGGCAAACTCCAGCCCCACCTCCTGTTTTTGTAAATAAAGTTTTATTGGAACACAGCCACACCCATTCATTTGTATGTTGTCTATGGCTGCTTTCCAGCTGCAATCACAGAGTTGAGTAGTTGTCACTAGAGACCGTGTGACCCACAAACTTGAAAATATTTACTATCCGGCCCTTTACAGAGAAAAGTTTGCTGACCAGCCCCTGTTGCAGAGAAATATACTGAAGCATTTACCTGTGAAAAATAGGGTGTCTGGGATTTGCTTCAAAATAATCCAAAGGGGAGGGGGGGAAAGTGGATGAGGATGACCATGAGACAAGATCATGATCCTAGCCTCTGTTCTTAGATATGTTTGAAATTCTCCATAATAAAAAGCCCCAGCAAACGACACTTTAGTTCAATTAATAAAGAATGTTTACCTCGAGCCTAGCGCTCTTAACAAAGAAGTATCTGTGTGAGCGCTGACAGCAGTTCATCTAAAGCTCAGATGAGAACTTTAGGGGCAGAGAGTCTAAGTTAATGGTGACAAAACAATATGGGTAGAGATCGTGAGAATGGTGACACAATGTGATATAGCCAAAGTCACTGAACTGTACATGTAGAAACTGTGAAAGGATGTATGTTTGGTTGTGCATATTGCCACCAGAAATAATTTTTTTAAAAAAGCTCTTGCAAAGGGGGGCCTTCCTCCACGGCCACCAACTGCTCTGACCCCAGGACCCTGGCACCTCTGGTCTGACAAGACGATCTGAACAAAGCCACTGCCAGCTGCCCAGTTCTGCACCCACCCAACGATGACGTCTGTCCCAGGCTAACAAAAAGGCCATGGGCACTGAGAGGGTACCCCAGAGCCAGCCATGCAGTGAGTACCCCCCACTGGAGCCCAAAGGTGTCCCGGAGACTGGGGGAGGGGGCAGGAGAGCTCTGTGGGAAGGGTCCCCCACCCCATCCTGGGGTCAGCTAAAGATCAGAGGGCCCAGGTAAGTCTATCCTCTGCACTCCACACCTCTCCCCCTCCCAGGCCTGGACCCTCTGATGTCCAACCAGGTCCCTGGGCATCCCAGGGCAGACCCTGCCCCTCTCTGAGACTCTGTAAGTGTTTTAATACCACTCAGGGTCTTTGGAGAGGAGAGTATATGCATGTATATATGACACCGGTGGTGCAGCGGTTGACAGCTTGGCTGTTAACCAAAAGGTTTGTTCAAACTCACCCAGCAGCTCTGCGGGAGTACTGGCAATCTGCTCCTGTAAAGATTACAGCCTAGGAAGCCCTATGGGACAGTTCTACTCTGTCACATGGGGTTGCTGTGAGTCGACAGCGCCCAACAACAACATACATGACACTAGTCCAGTCCCTAGCACATCCCTGGGGTGTCACCAGTATCAGCTGCCAATGGGCTCACAGAGACCCCCATGACCCCTGCTTTGATGTGACCTAGCCACCATTAGAACCGTCACTGATGGACTCCCAAACCAAACCACTTACCCAAGAAGCAAACCAAATAATAGGGTTTTCCCCTGCCAAAAAGACCGTTTTTATCTGGAAGGATTATTTTCTTTTCTAGAAACTCCCATCATAAAACCAGGATATCCCAATAATCAACGGAAGCAAACATTTATTTGATTTGGCGGGAAGTCCCAGACCCTCCCCCCTCTGGTCCCACCCCCACCCTGTCCTCATGTCTACATCACCTCTGCTCCTGCCCCAGCCACCTCCTCACCTGGGGTCCCTTCCTCTCACATGCAAACTTAGCCCCAGCCAGAAACTTAACCAAATCCAAAGCCCTCTACTCCCTGACTCATCCCACCCTAAATTTACCCCTAACACCCACCTCTTATGTATAATCAGGAAGGACTCCAGAAAATCCAAATATTTCCACCAATGGAAATTGGCATCAGTCCTGGCCCAGCGCCATCCCTCTCTCTGTTCTCAGCTTTGATGCCTGGCCCGCTCTGATACAATGCTTCAAGCTAACACTAACTGTGATTTTTTTATTATTGTTATTTGCAAAAGTTTTTAAGTAATACAGTGAAACCTGTGAGAGCCAGAATTCAATGGGACTGCATTGTTTTTCTAGGTCGCAGAAGTTTTCCACCTTTGACAGGGTGCAATCTTACTACTTTTCTATCCTATTAGTGGAAAATTTTTTCATTTTCCTTCTCTGACAGGTTTCTGCCTTACACAAGTTCTGGCTTTCACAGGTTTTACTGTATATGCCAAATGAAGAGTACATGAAATACACGAAAAAGCTCAAAGGGAGAAAGCAGTCCCCAAATGACTCACAGGAGCCCTGTGGTGCAGTAGTTAAGAGCTACAGCTGCTCACCAAAAGGCTGGCTGCTTGAGTCCACCAGACGCTCCTTGGAAACCCTATGGGGCAGTTCTACTCTGTTCTATAGGGTCACTATGAGTTGGAATCGACTTGACAGCAATGGGTTTTTTGGGGTTTAAATTAGTCACGAGTTACCCCAAAATAACTTCTGTAGAACACTCTGCTATATGCCTTCTGGGATTTCTTTCTTCCTGTAAACTGTACCCAGGTGTCCATCCTGGACCGCATCTGGCCATTCTTTGCATTACACCCAATATCAGCCTAACAGCAGTGCTGTGGTCTCACCCCGCCCTGGGACATCTGGCAATGCCTGGAGACCAGGGGTGGTGGTGCTACTGGCGTCTTGTGGGTGGAGGCCAGGGATGCTACTCAACATCCTGCAGTGCAGAGGGCAGTCCCCTACACCCGAGTCATCCAGCCCCAAGTATCAAGAGTGCAAGGTTGAGAAACCCTGCCCTAGCCCCCTCGCTAACCCACGAGTCTGAACTTGTCGCTGATAGCAAAGTGATTAAGACCATGGGTCTGACAGAGCCAGGCTGCCTGGGGTCACAGGCAGGCTTGCCACTTACTGAAGCCTCATTTTTCCCTGGGCCTCAGTAATCCCCACTGCCAAATGGGGACCGCTTACTCACCTTGTCAGAGTTGTTGTCCTGGTAAACAAGGTGACATGTACAAAGTGTCTGGCCCTTCGTTCGGCACCACTAAACGAGAGCCATTGTCATTTTATCACTAGCCAGGAGACTGATTAGGTCCTTCTCTCCTGAAGGAGTCCTTGCGGCACAGCGGTTAAGTGCTCGGCTGCTAACTAAAAGGTTGGCGATTCATACCCACCTAGCAGCTCTGTGGGAGAAAGACCTGGCAATCTGCTCCTTGAAAGATTGCAGCCTAGGAAACCCTATGGAGCAGTTCTACTCTGTCACATGGGGTCGCTATGAGTCGGAATTGGCTCCATACACCCAACAAAAACTACTGTCCTGTGGGCGTGGCTCCGCCCACTCCTGTTGGCCTCTGTGAATGTGAATTGAGCTCCATTTCTCCCCCTCCCTGCTCCTCCCCTCTCCCTCTCCACTCCTTCCCCCTCCAAGTCCTGAAACTAGTCTTTTGGGTGAGGCTGTTCTTGCTGGGTACCATCGAGTGGATTCCGACTCATGGCGACACCATGTGTGACAGAGTAGAACTGCCCCATAGGGTTTCCTTGGCTGTAATCTTTATAGGAGCAGATTGCCAGGTCTTTCTCCTGCAGAGTTGCTGGGTGGATTTGATCCACCTACCTTTCGGTTAGCAGCCAAGTGCTTAACCCCTTACTCCACCAGGACGCCTTTAGGTGAGGCTGGCACTGCCCTTCTGTGTCTTAGAGCCGGAGAGAGGCGGGCTGCATGTGTGCTTGGAGCTGGGGGAGGAGAGGAGCTTTGGACAGCACCCCTGGGTGGGAAAGATAAGGGAGTCGGCCCAGGGACCCAGTAGGGTCCCTTGCCAACTCTGGGGACCCCCAAACTCCTCGCCCTGACAAGCCCTCAGGCTCTGCTTCCCTCCACCCGTGTTTCTGCTCCCGTGTTAGTTTCCATTCTCTTTCTTGTGAGGGGGACCTTTTCACAAGGTGATGGAACAGAGGGGCCTCTGGCCAGGGGCCGGGGAGGGGGATCTGGGGCCAGTAGGCCTGGTGAGAAGCCCCCAGCCCTGCCATTTCCCGCTGTGGAACCCTGGGCAAGTGCCTTTCCTTCTCTGGATCAGGTCCCCCTACGCAAAGTGTCTGCAGAGACCCAGCGGAAGGTATGGCCGCCGTCATTGTGAATAAGCATTCCTCCTGTGCAGGTCACTAAGGACATGGTGGGCAGGGTCTGTGATGGGAGCCCCTTCCAGGCTCTTAAGACCTGGGACAAGTCCTTCCCGCTCTCTGAGCATCAGTGTCTTCCTTGCCCTCCCCCTACTTGCCATCCCTGAGCCTCGGCTTTCTCATCTGTTCAATGGGGGCAGCAGGAGGCTCATGCTGGGTGCAGAGCCCTGAGCCCAGGGCCGCCTCAGAGCGAAGACAGTCCCTCGTGCCTGTTTTAGCTGACTCTCACTCTCCTTTCTCTGTCCCGCCTTCTGATTTTGTTTCCTTCTCAGTCATGCTCCCCTGCTCCAACATCAGATGTTGTCTGACTCACAGACAGAACACGCCTTCCATCAAACCACATCCCTCTCTAGCTTACTGTTAGGATTTTCCCGTCTTCCCTTGTCCTTTCTTATAATAACTACCATTGCGCAGGGAAAGCCCCCCCGCCGCCAGTTTTCCTCCTCATCAACTCCCAGCCCCCCTCCCCCTCACCCCGAGAAAAAAAACCCAAGTGCTTCTCCTCCCCCCACATCAGGACGACCTGCCACGTGTCCTCTCCGCCCTTTGGCCAAGGCCCCCAAAGCTGTGAGGCTCTGCTGCCCCATGTGGGGGCTCCCAGGAGTTGGGCCGGCTTGTCCTTACTGCCGTCCCCACATGCCTCTCCACCGGGGGAAGGAAGCCCTGTGGGAGAAAAGCCCTGGGGGGCCATCAGATGGAGGAGGCCAAAGGCAGAGAGGCCGGGACTGCTGGGCAATTTCTCGAAGGTGCCACCCCACATGCCCCAGCAGGTCCGCAGTGCAGAGGTGGGAGGGGAGGGGACAGCATGGACCGGGAGTGGACCTTGAGCTGGACAAGCACATCCGCCCACTGGGATGGCCCCTCATGGAAGTCCTCTCAGGACTCTGGGCGGCGGCAGCAACTGGCATTTAACATGGGCAGGTAAAAAGTCCTGGTGATGTGCTCCCGTAAGGATCACAGCCTAGAAAACCCTATGGGACAGTTCTACTCTGTCACATGGGGTCGCTATGAGTTGGAATTAACTCGATGGCACCCAGCAACAACAACAGGTACTAGCCGTGAGGGCAGGCATGTTCTCAGTGCTTCACCCTGATTCTCACACTGAGTCTCCCCAACGCTGCAGAGCAGAGCTGCAGAGGGGAAGGCATTTACCCACAGCCCCCTGCTGAAAAGCACTGGGCACTGGGCGCCTATGCCTGCAAGGCCCACTGCTCCTCCCATTTCACAGAGGGGGAGACTGAGGTTCAGAGCATCCATGAGGGAAGGGGAATGGAGCCAGCAAGGGCTCTGAAGGCCACAGCAACGGCTAACTCAGGATCTCGGAAAACAAGACACCCAGTCCCCCAAGCCCCCCCCCCGCCACAAGAGTCAAAGGATGAGAGAGCACAAGATCGCTGTTAGCACTGCTACTTCGGCATTTATTTCAGGCTCCCGCCCACCCTCTGAACTATCTGGGGCAAGAGAAGAAAACAGACTGGTTTCCTTCCTCTGACCCCTCTCCCCACCGCCCCCTGCAGCCTAGACTAGACTCCAGCCCCTGACCGGCAGCTCCGGGAAAGCAGTTTCATTTCCCCCAGCCTGACTCCCAGAGGGAGGGGAGGGCAGGGCACAGCCAGTTTAAGGCCCAGAAGAAGGACCTGACAGACAGAGTGGAGGGCAGAGAGGAGAGAGGCATGCTGCTGTCCACGGAGAGTGGAGGTAGAGAGCAAGCTGGGGTAGATCGAGAGCCAGGGAGAGAAAGAACAGAGGCAGAGAGGAGAAGAGGAGGACTCCGAGGGTCAGGGAGACAGAGGACAGAGGCAGGGAGGAGGCTGGGGGAGACCAATGGCCAGGGGACAGAGAGAGGATGGAGGTGGGGGAGAAGAGAGGGGAGAGCAAGGGCCAGGGAGACAGAGAGAATGGAGGCAGGGAGGAGGAGAGTCAGAGGATGGAGGAAGGGGGAGGAGAGGGAGAGAGTAGGGAAGCAGAGACAGTCAGGAGGTGACAGAAAGGGAGAAGAGAAGAGAAAAAGAGACAAGGAGGCCAAGAGAGCTGGACGGGGACCACAGGGCTGGAGAGACGGGCACAGGAGGGGAGGCGAGTCCATGGAGAGTCCATGCAGGGGGCACTGGGGGGACACGTGTCAAGAGACAGAGATGTGGGCATGACCAGGGTGGGGGCATGCAGTCCTCTCTCATGGTGGCCTTTGCTTCTCCTTCACCCCAGACGCCATCTCCCACCCAAAAGTCATGGACCTGTGGGGTAAGTAAGCAGATGAGGGGCATGGGGTGAGTGGGGCAGGACCCCCGTCCCTTTCTCCTCACAGTGACCCTGTCCTCCTCCTCCTCCAGCCCCAAGCCTCCTCATCCTCATCCCCATCCTTCTCAGCCTGGCCACCTCCCTGGACGGGAAGGCCACCCACAGCCAGGACCCTTTCGAGAAATGCATGGAGGATCCTGACTACGAGCAGCTGCTCAAGGTTGTGATCTTGGGCCTCAACCGGACCTCCAAGCCCCAGAGGGTGATTGTGGTTGGTGCTGGTGTGGCTGGGCTGGTGGCTGCCAAGGTGCTCAGCGATGCCGGGCACAAGGTGAGAAGTGCTGTGCTCACAGTCTACCTTCAGCCTTTCCTGCTGCAGGCTGGGGATCCTCTGCCAGAGAGAAGGGTGGGGATGGAAGGATGTGGAGAGAGGGAAGCTCTCCTTTCCCTCTGGCCTGGGGAGGGGATCCCACTGAAGAGTGAAACCCCAAGGGGGCACCTGTCCACAGCTGCCCCGCTGGGAATCTCACGCAACATCCCCCAACCCCCAGGGGGAACTCGAATTAGTGGAGATGGAAATGCTACCCAACGGGAAGTCCCTCCTGAGGTCTAACCACTCTCCCTGTCACTGAAATCCAAGAACAAGAATGGGGCAGGGGCTTCTATGCATATGAGAAATCTCCCCACTCTCCAAGTTGGGAAGTCCCTCTGCATTCTAGTCAGTGCCCTTCCTGCTGCAGTCCAGGAACAGTCATGCTGTCCCTGCGTGCTGTGCTCTGTTCTCCCACCAGCCTCTCCCCACTCCTGATAAAGAAAGGGGTCCTTCTAGTCTGCCCTAGGTCTGTGCTGCTGTGGGTATGAAGGCAGGGGCTGCCGGCACGGGGGTGAGGGGGGATGGAAAGGGTCAGTGGAGGGGAGGAGCTGAAGGGCCCTGACCTCCCTCCCTCAGGTCACCGTCCTGGAGGCAGACAGCAGGATCGGGGGCCGCATCTTCACATACCGGGATGGGAAGACGGGCTGGATTGGGGAGATGGGGGCCATGCGCATGCCCAGCTCGCACAGGTGCCCCCCTTCGTGTCCACTCAGCCAGAACCCCAATCCATCCCCACCCTGTGTCAGCCCAAATGTCAGCCCTGACTCCCAAACCAGCTCAGGTCTAGAGCCAGCCCCCCTATTCCCTCCTTCCCCAAATCCCAACCTCACAGTCTCCCAGCTCAGGCCACACTACCCTACCACATCCAGCCAAACCCCCATGCAGCCTGGCCCAGGCCAGAGCCCCTCCAGCCTCCAGCCTGACCTGCCCCAATGCCTTTGGTCACCCTAGGACCAGGCGGTATCACTGATCCTGGGCCCTTCCCCTTCCAAGCACCCTCCAACCCAAACCCTGTCCCCATTCCCAACTCAAATTCTGGCTCTAACTTTATCCCCAGTGAAAGCCAGCTCCCACCCCAAACCCAATCGTCCTCAGCCTTCCAGCCCTTTTCTGATTTCATCCCAATTCCCAGCACCAGTGACCCCAAATCTAGCCCCATCCCCAGCCTCATGACCATCCCCAAACCCCATCCCCAGCTACCCCCACCCTTCACTTCTCCAAACCCCACTGGGGAGAGAGGCTCTTACTCCACCCCGACCCAACTCCATCTTCACCTGACTCTGGCCCTGCCCTCCCCCACACCCTCCGTCAGCCCTCCCCCAACCGTCAATGCCCTCTCCTCCCTCCCCACCCTCCCCTGGTCCTTCCCAGCCCTCCCCCAGCCTTCACCACCCTCATTCACGCCCTCAGGATCCTCCACAAGCTCTGCAAGAGCCTGGGGCTCAACCTGACCCGCTTTATCCAGTACGATGAGAACACGTGGACAGAGGTGAATGGTGTGAAGCTGCGTAACTACGTGGTGGAGAAGATGCCTGAGAAGCTGGGCTACAACCTGCGCCCCAGGGAGAAGGGCCACTCACCCGAGGAAATCTACCAGATGGCCCTCAACAGGGTAGGCTGCCAGCTCCCTCCAGCACCTCCCTGGCCTGGTGTCCTTTCCTCTGTCACCTGCTGGTCTCCTGCACCAGCTCTTCAGTCTCTAGTGTCCCCACAAACATGAAACCCCCAAAGTCCCATCAGCTTTTGGTCCCTTGTTCCCCTTCTCACTCACATGCAGCCCCCAAATAGCCTCACCTTTCCACACCTGTGCCTTAAAATTTGGTCTGCAGGCTGATGTCCCCTAAACCCATTTCCTGAGACGCAGACCTGTGTCCTCTGCCCTGACCACCCCCAGGACCCCTCACCTCCCCCTGAGCTCAGCATCTTTCCCTAAACCCATTCATACTTCCGGGCTCCCCCCAGTCACGGGGCAGACCTCCAAGGGGCCATCCTCACCCCTATCTCTCCCCCTCCCCCATCAGTCTCCAGCCCTGCCCTCCTGCCCCCTAACTCTACTCTGTTTGCTCCTCTGTCCCCACAGCCCCGGCCCCAACTCAGGCCTGTCCCCTCCCCTGGACCCTCGCCCCAACCTCTTCCCCGACCTTCAGTCCTCCCTGCAATGGCTTCAGAGGGGTCTTTTTACACCCAGAGCAGGCCCCTGCTCCTCCCTACTCAGAGCCCCCCCAGGGCTCCCCAGTGCCTCAGGTCAGAGTCCCAGCCCCTCAGCCTTAGGTTTGAGCCCTGAACAGTCTGGCCTTTCCCACCCCTCTAGCCTCATCTTCTCTCCCCCAAGAAATGTTTGTTTCTCTCAAAGTCCTCATGGTGGCCTGAACACGCCAGCTCTATCCTCTTTCTTACCCACTGTACTCGTCCATCTTCCCACCCCTACTCCTTGGCACTTGCTGTCCTACCCCCCACTCCCCACCTGGACTGCCTTTTCCCACCCAGGAAACTCCTACTCATCCCTCAAGACCAGCTCTATGTCCTCTCCTCCAGGAAGCCTTCCCTGCTGCCCTCAGGGAAGAGCTAGCTATGCCCCCCTCTAGGAACTCCTTCCTTGTCCATCTCCCCTGTCAGCCATCACCCCTGCTAGTGCTGATGGGTTGCAGGGGGGTAATCAAATTCCATCTGTATCCAAAACGATTCAGGCATCCACTATTTACTGAGCACCAGAAGGACACACAGACACACTCCCACCTCCACAGAGCTCATAGTCTAGGACAGAAACAGGCAAGGTCACATCCAACTGGGATGAGTGTGACAATGGCCAGAGGGGCCCATCGCTCGGGACGAGGTGGCAGTAATGACTCGGGGAGACTTCACAGAGAAGTGACATTTGAGCTGCGGCGGAGGACAAGGCTGAGGGCACAGCAGGGGCAAAGGCCCGGGGGCAGGACCAGGAAGGGAACCCGGGATCGGCCCCCACGCCCTTGCCCTTCCCGCCCTGGAGCTCAGCACCCTGCTTACTCCCCACAGGCCCTCAAAGATCTCAGGACGCTGGGCTGCGAATGGGCCCTGAAGAAGTTCGAAAGGCACACACTCCTGGTGAGCAGGACCTCGGCTAGCTGTCTGGAAATGGGGCAAGAGGGGTACCCGTCGGGCTTGGGACCCCGGGCCTAGGCCTGCCACTGCCTGCCCCGCCTGATCCGGGCCGGGACACGCCCCTCCTTGAGCCTTAGTTTCCCCATCTTTCACAAGAGGAGCCGTACTCTGCGGCCGGAGAGAGCTCAACGGTCAAGTGCCAGGGATGCGGGTGGCTCAGCCAGGGAGCGACCCCAACGGGAGGGAGGACTGAGCTGGCGTGCAGTCCCGACCGCCTGGCCCTGGTCGCGGCCGTCTCCTGTCCCCCAGGAATACCTCCTCAGGGAGGGGAACCTGAGTCAGCCGGCCGCGCGGCTCCTGGGGGACGTGATGTCCAAGGATGGCTTCTTCTACCTCAGCTTCGCCGAGGCGTTGCGCGCCCACAGCTGCCTCAGCGACCGGCTCCGGTGAGGGGCGGGGCCACGGGCAAGGGCGGGGCCGACGGGGGCCAATCGGGGCAAGTAAAGGGGGAGTGGGCGGGCCGTCGGGATTGGGCAGGCGGTGTTGGCGGGAGGGGAGGAGAGGTGGGGCGTTTTGGTCTGGTTCCGCCCACCTAGTATCCCCTACCCTTCCGGGTGGGGCCCGCAGTTGGACCTGGGTATGAAATGTTACCTCTTTCCCGGTCCGCAGGTACAGCCGCATCGTGGGCGGCTGGGACCTGCTGCCACGCGCTCTGCTGAGCTCGCTGTCAGGGCCCATGCTGCTGCACACGCCGGTGGTGGCGGTGAAGCAGGGACAGCGCGAGGTGCAAGTGCACGTCTCCACGTCGCGCGGAGCCAGCTTGCAGAAGGTGCTGACCGCGGACATGGTGCTGCTGACGATGAGCGGGCCGGCGCTGCAGCGCGTCAGCTTTTCGCCGCCGCTGTCGCACAAGCGGCAGCACGCGCTGCGTTCGCTGCACTACGTGGCGGCCACCAAGGTGTACCTGAGCTTCCGCCGGCCCTTTTGGCGTGACGAGCACATCGAGGGCGGCCACTCGAGCACCGACCGCCCGTCGCGCATCATTTTTTACCCGCCACCCGGCGAGGGCGCGCTGCTGCTGGCCTCGTACACTTGGTCAGACTCGGCGGCGCCCTTCGCGGGCCTGAGCCTGGACGAGGTGCTGCGCGTGGCGCTCGACGATGTGGCGGCGCTGCACGGGCCCATCGTGTACCGGCTCTGGGATGGCACCGGCGTGGCCAAGCGCTGGGCGGAAGACCCGCACAGCCAGGGCGGCTTCGTGGTGCAGCCGCCGGTGCTCTGGCACCAGGAAAAGGACGAGGGGCACACCGTCGACTGGGCGCTCCCCTATGGTCGCGTCTACTTTGCCGGCGAGCACACGGCCTACCCGCACGGTTGGGTGGAGACGGCCGTCAAGTCGGCGCTGCGGGCCGCCATAAGGATTAACAGCCGGAAGGAGCCCGGGCACAAGGCCGAGCACCCCCGGCTAGGCAACTCGAAGGCAGCGACCACCCATCATCCGACCCATAAGCCGGTCTCCTCCCAGCACACAACCCACAAGGGCACCCAACATTAAAGTATTTTCGGTTAAAGCCGCGCGGTCCAGCCTCCTCCCTCGCTGCTGTCCTTCCTTCTGCAGTTCGCCTGGAGCAGACCCGTTAGCGCTCCGGTTAGGCGGGATTCGTCCCTCAGGCAGCCTGCTACTTCGTCCTACACAGCGGGGTGCCGGGGGGGAGAGGCAGGGTGGACACCCCGCGCCTACCACAATGACCACCTCACCCGGGCTGTCACTGGCTGAGACGACATGAAAGGCACACATGGGTCGGGATGCAAATCACAGAAAACCCGGCGACAGTGAGTTGGACCACATGAGTTTAATGTCCACACATAACATGAAATTGTAGCAGGGTCCGCGGAGTGCTTCAGCAGCCCCGCAGGCCCTGCCACCTGGCCTGTCCCAGATGTGTTCCTGCACAGCTATTCCTCCAAAAGCCCCAAACTCAGGGAGGGAGCCCTGCCATCCCTTAGCCACAAGCCCCCACCACTCACCCCCTGGGACCTCCCCTTACCCAGGGTTACGTGATCAGGGATTGGCTATTTCCAGCGACCAGCATCAGCCCACAAGGTGAGGGGACCAGGAGCCACCACCTTGTCCCCTCTACGTTCATGACAACGTGGAAGCCTACTTTCCCCACCAACATAAAGCCAAATAGTCATAAGAAGTGTCACTTTAATGATCCAACTAATCAGGAGAGCAGCTAGGCCGCCAGGGCGGGAGGCAGACAGGAAGCACCCGCCCCTCCACGCCCCACCCTCCTCCCCCCCCTCCCCGCAAAGGGCAAGGCCATGAAGTAGGGATGGGTAAAGTGCCTGTGCTGGGCGGGGCCGCCGGCTGAGCCAGGCTAGGTGTCTGCACCATCATCCTCCGGCAGGATCTCCAGACTGCTGTCAGGCTGCGGGGCCGGGTCTGCCCGGGGCGGCGCAACCGGTGGGGAGCAGGTGGGCGACAGCGGCAGAGGGGAGGCGGGGGGAGAGGGGCTGGAGGGACTGTGCGGCCCTGCAGGTGACACCAGGCCCAGGACCTCCTGCACATTGTGGGGCAGCTCCTGGGGGGAGGGGGCGAGGGAAGGCGTCAGAGGGAGGGAAAGAGACATAGACGGGAGGGGAGGAGTCAGAGGTGGGAGGGAGGCTCACCCGGCAGGCGGTCAGCTGCCTGTAGAGGGCTTCGGCCCGCGTCAGCACGTCCTCCACACTCAGTTTCATGGTCAGCTCATTAATGTGCTGCGGGAGGGGGGGATCAGGCCGGCCTGCCTTCCCAGGGACATTCAACCACCACCACCCGAGCGCCCACTCTGTGCCTTGTGCTGAGGACACACTGGAGGGAAAACAGACAGGGTCTGGCCCTCACGGGGCTCAGAGTCGGGCTGGGGAGCCAGGAAAAAGCATGCTTCTCATTCGACCAGCATTTTGAGGACTATGTGCTAGGCCCAGGGGACACATCAGAGGGGACAAGACACAAAGCCCTCCCATGACCCCCTGGGGCCCTGCCCACCCCCACCCCCATCACTGGAGAAGAGGTTCCACTATTGTCCCCAACACTCTCCAGCACCTGCTCTATGAGGCTCTGCCACGACCAGAGATAGAAGGGGTAGGAGACGGACATACACTCTACCCCACGGCACCCCCTGCCTCACTCACCATACTTTCCATAAACCTATTTTGAGAACCTATTATGTGAAGCAAGGAGCCCTGGTGGTGCAACGGTTAGGCGCTTGGGGTCTGAACCCATCCAGCCGCTCCACGGGGGAAAGACCTGTGATTTGCTCCCGTAAAGATTACAGCCTAGGAAACCCTCACGGGCAGTTCTGCTGTGTCACATGGGGTCACTATAAGTAGGTATGGACTTGACAGAACCTAACAACAACCATGTAAAGTAACGTGGGCCCGAGGCAGGGCCGGCCTCCAGGGGTTCACACTGCAGCTGGTCTACCTGGACAGGGCAGAGTAGGCAGGGAGAGGGCAGCTGGACGGGGGGGGGACTCACCTTGAGGATCTCATTGGAGCCAAAGCCCGACAGCATGAGGGTGTCCCGCTCCATGTCCAGGATGGCACAGGCCACCAGCAGGTGCAGGTTGGGCCCAGGGAGCCCTGTCCACAGCACCTGGGGCAGGGGGAGGGGTGGTGGCAGGAGAGTGGGTGACCGCCCAGTGTCTCCGGGAGCTCCTGCCCAGGTATGCCCCCACCCTCTGCCCATCTCCCACCAACCTCCAGCCCATCCCATCGGCAGCTGATTCTCCACCCTCTCCAGTGTCCCATCCTAAGCAGAGGCCTACCTCCCACAGCCGCAGAACATCTGGGAAGGGGAACTCCCTCTTGAACCAGATAAGCAGCCATCGGAAGCAGAAGCAGAGCGAGCCAGAGTCCTGGGAGTCTGGGGGAGGAAGTGGCAGGAGGGGTGAGCCCCGAAAAAGGGAGCTGAGAGCTGGTTACAGGCTGTGTCCCCAAGCCCAGCCTGGCCCACAGCGGGTGCTCAACAGAAACCAAGTTCAAAACCAATTCTGATCACATTCCATTCGTAACACACCCAGCAGTTGGGCTGCGACTCCCTTTAAGAAAGTGAGTCTTGCTGTGAGACTCAAATGTCTAGGAAAGTAACTTAAACACACTGGGGAGGTTCCGGAGGTGAAGCAGGACTGCTGTGTGAGCAGGAAGTTTCCCATTCCACCTTCCAGACTCCAGATGAAATGTGATATTTCCATGTTTTCCACTGACAGGGAGGGGATGCAGAAAGACCAAAAACCCAAGGAAAAATAATGTCAACACCTAGTGCTGGTGAAGGTGTGGGGAAACTGGCACTCATACATACCAGTTGCGGTTGATTGCGACTGATAGCGACCCTACAGAACAGACGGTGTAAAAATGGTGTAGTGGGAGCGTCTGACCTCCTCTAACTTCACAAGCGGGAGACAGAACCACTATCAACATCAGCCCAAAGCTTATTCCTATGAAGTGGAAGTCAGACATGCCTCCTTTCTCCAACCTTTATACCAATTCTGACACCAGCTGTCCCTCCCATGGCACTCTCTACTTTTCTGCTGGGTTTGATAATTCATTACAATGACCACACAGAACTCACGATTTATTGGGGGAAGTAACAGGTTACAATTCAGAATCAGAAATGACTCAGGATACAGTTCTTCAATCAGGACAGCTTCTCGACCATGCCCACAGGCAGGCCTCTCCCTGGCCCTCAGCCTCTTGGCCCCTCAGGCCTCTTGAGTTGGCCGGGCCTCCGCCTTGCTCCGGCAAGTTACAAAGCTCTTTAGGTTCACTGATGAGTGCCCAGATGCAACCCACTCGGCCAGTCGGCCTCAGCCTTAAGGTGCTCTGCTCTCTAGCTCTGTGGTGTGGCAAGCCAAACTCTACCAAGTGCCTGGAGGCACCGCACCCCACCAGGAAGCCTCCTACCCAAAAGTGCTCAGCTCTCTCACTCTGTGGGTCTATGAGCCTAGCTCCACCAAGTGCCCAGAGGCACCCCACTCTGCCAGCAAGCCTCCTGCTCAAGGGTGCTCAGCTCTCTCGCTCCATGGGCTGGGAAGCCCACAGTGCCGCCTCATGCTGGTCTCCTGGTTTTGCTGCTGCCGGTTCTCTGCTACGCCTGCTGCTCTTTCTTACTGTATGTCATCTCTGATGCTACAGCTTTCTGTCTCCTGGGTATAGGAGGTTCTCACTGCAGGGACCATGGGTCCAAAGGACATACCCCACTCCCAGCTCTTCTTTCTTGGTGGTAGTGAGGTTCCCCCCTTCTCTGGGATTGTCTCTATTTTAAGCCTACCAGGATGGCAAAACTGATCAATCCCCTTGTTAGGGTTCCATACATCTTATTTGCATGTTCCACCCCTCAGGGTTCCATGCACCCTACCTGAATTATTAGCAAGCTGTCCAGTCCCTTGGTGGGCCATGAGCACTTTATTTGCATAGTCCCACCCAAACATCGTGTGGAAGTCACAAAGACTATGGCTAGAAAGGGCATATTAAGTAATTCACTGCACCACAACTGCTGTAGCAATTAGTAAAAAAAAGTTGGAGAGAGGAGGTATGCCTGACCTCTACTTCATAGAATCAGCCTTTTGCTGTTGATGCTGATAATGATTCTCTCTCCTTCCCCTTGTGAAGTTAGATGAGGCGGTCTCACACTGCCATCATGCCATTTCTACAGTGCTCAGTAAGTTAATGATCATCATTATGCATTCAAAAAATTAACACTATTAACGGTCACTTTTACTTTCTTCTGAATTTCCTACCCTTCTTTGTATTGAGTAAGTAATGAAGAATGAGCCCTGGTGGCACAACAGTTAAGCACCCGGCTGCTAACCAAAAGACTGGTGGGTCAAACCCACCCAGCAGCTCTGTGGGATAAAGACCTGGAGATCTGCTCCCGTAAAGATCACAGCCTAGGAAATCTTATGGGACAGTTCCACTCTGTCACATAGAGTTGTTATGAGTCTGAATTGACTTGACAGCACCCAACAAGAAGAAGTAATGAAAAAGAAATATTCAGAAGCCAGAATGCAGCAGCCCCAGCCCAGGGGCCCAGAGAACCAGTTTCCAATCCTTGGTTCAAGGTAAGCATAGAGCTGGGTGGAGAAGTGGTAAGAACCACGTCCAGGTCCTTATTTCTGGAATGTATCGAGCAGGTCAAGCCCAAGATTGAGGTGAGCAGGGATAGGGCCCACCAATCTGGCACGTGGGGCTGCATAAGAGTGCCTGCACGCCGGCGTTGGCTGAGCTTTTGCTCCAAGCAGCAATCCTACTTTTTATGTCTGTGTTTTAGCTTCTGGGTTATGTAGGGATTTTTCTTCGGGTTGGATCAGAACCAAACGTCCTAGACACCATTTGTGGTCGCCACCAGAAAATCTCTGGCCCCACTCTCTCCTGCCCAGGACACATACCCAGGAAGTCGCACAGAGGCGGGTCCAGCACCCTCAGCAGCAGCAGGAGTTGCCCAAGTTGCCGCTTCATGGTTTCTTGGCTCTCCTCAAAGTTCCCGTGCTGTGGGGAAGGGGGACCACAAGA